AAAGTTCCTGCCTCAAAGGGCTATTTGAAAACTTACATGAAATAATTAACTTGGTTTGCTTTGCAAGGAAAGAAATTAATATGATGATACATTGCTACTAGATATCCTGCCAAAGAGTTTACACAGTGTTATTTACTTCTTATTTGTCAATTCCTTTTTTATTCCTTACTATAAACTATCCATTCACAACTTACTGTTATATACCTACTATGTGCCAGGTACTGTTCTGGGCATAGAAAGCCCTATTTTCTCTGGGAATTTCATTTAAGCTGGAGGAGTCAGGTAGTAAAAATAAAATAGAAAGTGGGGAGCATTATTCTTTTGGGTATGAAGAAGTGTTGGAGGTGCCAAGGTCACCTGATTAATGAGGTACAGACATGCTGCTGATCCAAAGAAAAGAAAGAGCCTTTTTACCAAGATGGCGCTGAAGGCGAAGAAGGAAGCCCCTGCCCCTTCCAGAGCTGAAACCAAAGCAAAAGCTTTGAAGGCCACGGAGACCATGCTGAAAGGCATCCATAGCCACAAAAAGATGTGAATGTCACCCACCCTCCGCCAACCCAAGACACTGCAGCTCCAAAGGCAGCCTAAATACCCTTGGAAAAGCACCCCCAGGAGAAATAAGTTTAACCACTATGCCATCGTCAAGTTCCCCCTGACCACACAGTCAGCCATGAAAAAGATTGAGGACAGCAAAACACTCATGTTTATTATGGATATGAAAGCCAATAAACACCAATCAAACAAGCTGTAAAAAGTCTCTATGACATCGATGTTGCCAACGTCCATACCCTAATCAGGCCTGATGGAGAGAAGAAGGCATATGTTTGACTGGCTCCTGATTATGACGCACTGGATGTTGCCAACAAAATTGGGATCATCTAAACTGAGTCCAGCTGGCTAATTTTAAATAAGTACTTTTTTTCCCCATTAAAAAAAAAAAAAAAAAAAAACAAAGAAAAGAGAAATGGCATGGATGGAAAGGTAGTTTGTGAAGTCACAGCCAGTCTGTGAAGCCAGAGCTTGGGTGTTTTCTATTTTTGGTCAACAAAGGCATCTGGTTTTAGAGTGAGAGCTTGTGGAAGAGAAATATGGTTTTTTTTTTTTACATTTATTGGTACAGTTTAGATATACATTATGACCACATTCATCATAGGGAACTTATGCCTATACATGATGTATCTTGATTCTTTTTTTTTTTTTTTCTGTTCCCATACCTTCCCTTCAACCCCTTTCCCCTCCTTACAAAGATTGGTTTCCATTCCAGATTTCTTTTCTCACTTTTTTCTTTTCCCTTCCTTTCCTTCTGCCCCCTCCCTAGCTCCTCTTTCCTTTTGAACAGTTTCTTCTTATTTCACAATATCTAGTATACACTTTGGGCTTTATTTACATTTTCAGTTTCTCACACTAGAGAAACAATGCAATATTTACACATGTGAGACCAATTTATTTTACTTAAAGGTGTGGTCTCAAGATGCATCCATTTAACTAGGAATGTCTCAAGTTTATTCTTCTTTATCACTGAGTAGGACTCTACTATATTAAAAATATCTTCTTTAACAAGTCATCGCTTGATGGGCATTTGGGATGTTTCCAAACCATGTTGCTATCAACGTGGATGTAAATATATCACTGTGGTGTGGTGCTTTCGGTTCTTCTGGTAAGATACCAAGAAGAGGAATAGCTGAGTCAAATGAGATCTGTAGTGTTAGTATTTTGAGGAATCTCCACATTGATTTCTACAGTGGTTGCATTCTCACCAGTGATGGAGCAGGGTTTCTTTTTCCTCCACCGTGTCACTTAGTGGTTGGTTTCTCCGCCCATTCTTTCTGGAGTGAGATGAAAGCTCACTGTTGTTTTCATTTGCATCTCTTGAATAACTGGTGATGCTGAACTTTTCTTCATATGTTTACTTACCATTTGTACCTCATCTGAGAAGTGTCTATTCATTTCACATGCCCAGTTTTGGATTGGCTCTTTAAATTTGGGGTTGTGTGATTATTTTCAATTCTTTCCATGTTGTAGACGTTAGTACAGTTTTGGAAGTATGGGCTTTTCACTATGTTGGCTATTCCTACCCAAGTGCAAGGGATATCCTTTCATGTCCTGATAGTTTTCAATGTAGAAGTCTTTTACCTACTTTGTTAGATTGATTTCTAAGTATTTCATTTTTTATGCCATTTTAATTTTTTTTTTTCATTTTTGTGTTTGGTGCAGGGTCTCACTATGCAGCTCGGACTCAGAGTGTGCCTCCTGTCTTCAGTCTCCCCAGTGCTGGGATTACTGGTGTGTGTGCCACCATGCCTGGACTTGCTCGCAGGCTCAGTGTGCCCCAGGGCTGGGGCCAGCATGGCGTGCAGGACCAGAAATGGAACCCTATCTTACAAGTCCTTTTTTATGGTATTTTTAAAAGTATTGCTTTCCTAATTCCTGCTCAATGAGCTTGTTATTCATGTACAGAAAGGCTATCGATAAAAATATATGGAACACTTCATGAATCTGCATGTCATCCTTGGGCAGCAGTCATACTAATCTTCTCTGTATTGTTCCAATTTTAGTATACGGGCTGCCGAAGGGAGCGCAAGAAATATGATCTTAAAGGAGGACATGAGGGGTGGACTGGAGGCCTGGGTGACACTTCCACCCTCACCTCAAGGTTCTTAATTAAACCAAGGAGCCAACACCAGGCCCTCCCCTTCCACGTGAGCCAGACGTATTTTACCTACTGACCTGCAGCCGGATCCAAACAGAAATCTTCTGCTTGTTGGTGGCTGTCTTAGTTACTTTTCTCTCGTTGCTGGGACAAATACCCGACACTCAAAATGAGAGAAGGAAAGGTTTATTTAGCTCGCAGTTACTGGAGGTTTCAAGACGCTGGAGAACAGGCTGGGCGCTGCCCTGTCCAGGACGACCTTCTATACATCTCTGAGAAAGCACAGGCTAGTCAGTTTAACGGTGTGCACCTCTTTGGCCCCGCCCTCTGGCCCCGCCCCTGGTCCTCTGGCTCCGCCCCTCTGGCCCCGCCCTGGTCCTCTGGCTCCGCCCCTCTCGCGCCGCATCTGCCCCAGAACTTCCGTGAGGTTTTGCGGGGACAACTAGACACAAACCATAACAGTGGCTGAACCCTTAGCTTTGCCAAATGCAGTCACAGGGTGGCTAGGAAGACCACTGTTCTGGCTCACTTCACAGGAGATGGAGTGCACCTTTGGAGGCCATGCTGTGAGAAGACAAGAACTTCCAGGGTCATGCTGAGAGCAAGGGTCTCTCAGGGAGCGAGGTAGCCCTAGTGGGGCACTACAGAAAGTTAATGTACCCAGCCTGGGCAGCCCATTCCTTGGCTGCCATGGGCTGAGGACCATCCCTCAGGCAAAGGAGTTGGCCGGCACAGAATGATCTCCATCCCACTTGGGGAGCACTGGAGATAGGAGTGGGGCATCACTGACTGTTTGGCAAGATGACATGTATCGGCAAGGCACGGTAGGCACATGATGTTCTATGTTTCAATCCAAAGTCCCACTCCCACCCTCACCATTTACCCCCTCAACAGCCTGGTTGCCCTTTCTGCAAGCTTCTGGACCCAGCCCTCACCTTCTGGCGCCGTAGCCAGTTCTAGTCACCAGGGGGCAGCAGCGTGACATCAATCAATCTGAGTCCTTCATGTGATGACCCGGCCAGGGAAGAGCATCTGGCTAATGCTGAGAACCAAGGGGCTGGAGCTCTGCGCTGCTTGTGTGTGACAGCTTTGCTCCCAGGACTTCTGGGGACAGGTGGTGTAAGGGGGAGAATGTGACAGGGGAGGGAAAAGAAGGCAGAATAAGGCAGGGCTCGCGGAGCCAGCAGCTACATCCTTTCTGCACTCCAAATCTCTTCCCACCATCCCCAAATCTGTCCTTTTCCTCTCTTGGTCCTTGTATGACTCTCTGGCAGTCCTTCAAGAGCCCTCCAACTTTCCGCAGGCTGGCTGTCAACCTGTGCTCTTTGCTTTCCAAGTAAGAACCTGCTTGGTTCCAGCCAGGGCTGCCCCTCCCCTCGCCCATTCTTCTAGAACACCGATATAATCACTCTGTGAGCACACGCGAATACCATGCACACACACGCCCACCCAGCCAGCACACGCTGCGTCAGTCTGTGCAGCAGGCTTTTCACTTCCTCCAACCATATCACAACTGCTTTGACTATAAAGGCTTCTCTACTTGCTTAATCCCACAATAAGGGGGCACTTCCTGTGGCTGCTGATTTAGCATTTCACTGTAGGACATAAATCTAAGGACATACAAGTTGTCTGAAAGAAGACTAAAAATTGGGCTAGATACCTTCTCAGAGCGCATTACAGTCCTCTATCGTGACTCTATACCGGACCCAGGGTTCCACAGATGTCAAGACATTTTTTCAGTTTTGAGGTCGGCTTGGTGTAGAGGGTACAGTGAGAAGGTGACGAGGACTCTCTCACCTACTCCAGGTGACAGATGCTCCAGGAGAACCTCTCAGGAGTCTGAGGATACTGGCTAGGTTTTCTGTAGGAAGGTTGTAGCATATTCAAATTGGGTAATGTAAATGATCTTTTTTTGGTAAATAATCTAATAAAGAGATTTTTTTTTTAAATAAAGGAGTTCCGGCATTTGAGGGGCTCCACACCAAGAAACACTGCTGGCAAGATGAGGGGGACAGGAGGAAAGGGCAGTGGCAGTACTAAGGAAAGCCTGCCAGTCCCTTTCCTCCCCACCCTGTCCAACACCAGAGTGTCCTCTGGTGCCCAGAGGAGTGGGGAGGGAAGCACAGAGCAGGCGGGGAGCGTTGACTCAAGTGGCCACTGGAATTTTAAACTCCCTGAACTTCGTACCCAAAGTGCTTCAAAGTATTGGAGTTTGCCAGAATGGCAACACAGAGATGGTGGGGGGAGAAGTTGAACATTAGCAAGCTGGCTACCTTGGTGGGACAGGGTGGGACACACACAAAGCAGCTGTTTGTGCCTCACGGGCTCAGGCTGAGGTGAAAGGCATCATATGACAGGGAAGAAACTGAGTTTGCAGCCATGCAGTGGTGACGGCAGACCTGGGCCACCCTACCCTCGCCTCAGCTGCCCTGTGTCCTCTCTCCTCTTGCTTTTGCCACAGCTGGCCCTAGAGCCCCGACCCCAGCACAAGCTATAGCCACTGGCTTCCTTCAAGCTGCTGTAACGAAATGTCACAGATTAAGTTGGCAACTTATAAACAACCAACTGTTGTTTGATTCCAAATGTCCCCCACAAGCTTGTGTGGTAAAGGCTTGCTCCCCAGCATGGTACTACTGAGAGGAGGGGGCCCAGGCTCTTCTTCTTCCTCTCCCTTTTGCTTCCCTATCATGAGGTAAACGGCTTTGCACCGGCACATAGTCCCACCAGGAAATCTCATCAAAGACCTGAAGTAACAAGATCAAAGGATAATAGACTAAAATTTCTAAAAGTGTGAGTCAAAACACAATAAACCTTTATTTCTTTATAACTTTATCTTTGGCATTTTGTTACCATAAAGTAATGCTACCCCAGGCATTAACCCTATTCATGAGGGACTTGCCCTCCTGACCTAATTACCTTTCCAAGGCCTTACTTCCTAACATTACCACTGTGGCAATTAAGATTTCAAATACTGCCTGGCATGGTGGCGCATGTGTACAATCCCAGCACTCAGGAGGCTGAGGCAGAAAGATTGCCACAAGTTTGAGACAAGCCTGGATTACATAGTGAGGCTCTGTCTCAAAACAACTCCCACCAAAACAAAAATTTCAAATACTGCTGGGTGCCACACCCAGCTCTGGGAGGCTGAGGTAAGGATGGCAAATTCAAGCTCTGCCCTGTTCACCAAGACCCTACCTCAAAATAAAAAAAGGATCTAGGGTGTAGCTCAACATGAAGGCCCTGGATTCAATCTCTGGTATTAAAAAAAAAAAAAAAAAAAAGATTTAAATGTACATTTTTGGAAAACTAAAACATTCAGGCTCTAACAGCTACAGTTCATGTAAACAAGAGCAAAAGTGCAGGTATCTGTCCTGGGATCGCTGCTCAGGGTCAGAAGCTGAGGTGTACCCACCACCCACACCACCCAGGCGTCTTCCCAGCACGCCCACCTTGAGCCTGAGGCACAGGCTAGCTCTCCTTAAGGAGGGTAGCTGAGGCTAGGCATGGTGGCGCACATCTGTAGTCTCAGCACTGAGGCAGGAAGATGGCCAGGAGTTTGAGGCCAGCCTGGGCTACATAGAAAGTTTAAGGCCAGCCTAAATTGCATAGTGAGATCCTGTCTCAAATCTTTAAAAAAGGAGGATAGCTGAGGTAGGAGCAGTTTGAGAGCCCTGGGCTCAGGTCTGGTCCACCTTGATTTGAGTGGACCTTGGACCAGGGAAAGTCTTCTCAAGGGCTCCAGTCCCACTAAGTGGCCAAACAATCACTGGGGTCCCTGCCAAAGGGGAAGCTGATTTGGACTGGTGGAGTCCGCCAGATTTTCATCTGCTGTTTATAGCGGTCTTCAGGAGTTAACAGCCCCAGGAAATGATGACAGGGTGGGGAAGTAAGAACAAGGCAAGGGACCCAGAGGGTCAGGACAGGGGGTATTTTGGAGCAAGCGGATGCCCAAGTCACTGCTGGGCAATGGCCCAGGGCAGTCATTGTGCTGGGAATGGAAAATCCTTTTTTTTTTTTTACTCCTGCAAGGGCTGAAAATAGTCCCAAGTGGAAAGTGGGGCCCCTGGGGACAGGGTTCAAGGACGATAGGTGACTGGCCTGCCGGCCTGGGCCATTGTTCCTGGTAGGCACAGTCATGACCAGACACCTATCTGAGATGGAGTGAAGACCAGACACCTGGCTGAGCTGGAGTGGAGATGGAGGGAAGCCCCGGAAGCTCCTGCTGAACAGAGGAGTGGCTGGGTAGAGCCGAGCATGATCAAGACTGGGAATCTAAGGCCCAGAGAGAAGAAATGCTCAATCAGGTCCTGTGAAGCATCAGCACAGAGCAGGATGGAAGAGTGGCTCTGGGACTCAGGTCCTGCCCTGTGGTCACTTTGGGTGATGGGATCCCAGATGGGTTGTCAGGTTCTGGTGCTTGACAAAGAATTAGATATGGCACACAATGGTGATAAAAAGGCAGCAAAGTTTAATGAAGTTTAATCAGGTAAAGGTATGCTCAGAGTGAGCAGGCTGACTCAGGCAGAGAGGAAAATACCTGGGCACTCAGCGTGTTGGCTTTAAGAATTTAAAATATTGCACCAGGTCTAGGCCACCTCTCGTTGGGTCTTCCAGAATGTGATTGGCAAGATGATTGATGGGTGCTGAGTCACGCCCGCTGTATCTGCTGGACATGTTCTTTCCCGTAACTCACTGTTATGATTGGAAGTATGAGATGCAGTCCCTGTGTATGAAACTTTAATGAGCTTCACACGAAGAAAGGTTCTATATCGTGGCAGCAGGTCTGTCACACACGTCCTGATGTGGCATTTGGGAACCATTCTGGGGTCTTTGTTATGCTTGTCCCTGTCTCTGGGTAGCAGGCCCTAGGACAGAATTGGCTCTGGGGTATTGCCCAGGTTCAGGTGAGTTGTCCCAGAGCCCCATCTGTACTGTTACTCTCATACCCCTCATCCTGCAGCTCAGTCACCCCTGGCTCCACCCATGGGAGCAGGAGCACCTGACAATCCACTGCCATGCAGTGACAATCCACACTACATAACAGTAGAGTCACTTCACCTCTTTGGTCCCTTGATTCCAGGGAGACCTCCTGCCCCTCCCTCAGTCCTCAGAACCAAGAGCCCAGTGGTTTTAGCAAAACCTAAGGGAGCAACTGTTAGTTATGCCTTGAAACTGTAGACAAGAATGCCCTGATTGAGTGTGGGAGAAGTGGAACAGAGAAGCAGGGCCTGAGGCCACAGAAGGCAGCCCAGAGAAGGCCTCAGTTCACACAGCAAAAGCAGCCTGCTCTGGCCCAGCCCCAGCCCCAGGCCAGTTCTCTCATCCCAGATCTTCAAGCTCTTAACTGAACCAAGATGTGACTGCAGTCATGCTGCATACTGCCAGCCAGAAAGAAGTGGCCAAGCCTGCCACTGTGGATGGGGGAATTCTGTACCCCACAGGGGCTAGTCCTGCTACTTAATATCCTCATTGCCCACTGCCCCCCTGCACTCCAGGCAGGCACCAGGACAAGGTTCTGGAAATACACAGGTCTATGTGCCTGAAAGCCACCCAGTACCAGGTAAGGCAGAGGTGGGTCCTATTTTCCCCATCCCACAGCCAGAGGGGCCTCTGGAGCTGATAGGTCTTGTGTCATTCAGTGACCAAGCACATCAGGCTCTTCTTCAAAGTGTTCATCCCAATGTGGTGATATTAAATTACTTCCACTCTGGGAGCAAGGGACCCACTGGCTTGCCTTGATGTCTCCTGGCATGGTGCTAGCACGGAAATGCCAGGCACGGGGCTAAGCATCTCCTGCACATTGAGTCAAGCAAGCCTCCCAAATTTCTCTGTGGGAGGCGGCATCTCATCAAATGAGAAAAGCGAGGTGCTGCAAGATTGGGTGACTGCACAGCTGGGAAAGTGGAGGTGAGCTTCAGACCAAGATTGTCTTAGTTCTGGATCTGTGCTCCCAACATGTCCTCCCTACAATGGTGCTCTGCTCCTGAGCTGTGGGAAGGGTGCCGTGGAGGGGCTGTGAATGGTGTGGCCCACTGCAAAGGGAATTCATCAGACCCCAGGGGCCTTGGACTCTTCTGTGCTCACCCACCTGCAGCTTGTATCACGTGGGTCGTCGACCCTGTACTCAATGCCCTCTCCTGTGTCCTCAGCCACTAAATGTGGAGGATAATGTCTGCTCCTCAGCATGGGCATGAAGAACAACTCACATATGTGAAAGTCCTGCCTGGTTCGTGGGACATGTATCAGCATGTGAATCCTCTCCCCCATGTGCCAAATCTTCCTGACAAGAGTGACAGATGGGCAGCTGAGGTGGCCTGATCAAGAGCAATGCTGTCCACAGCAGGTTGCCCAGGGCCTTTCTTGGCCTCCAAGGTTAAGGCTGTGTGTATCTTCTGGCATTCTCCCCTTTCTTGGCCTGGGGGCCCTCTGCTGCCCAGGGGAGAGCCAATATGCCAGGGAGCTTACTGAGGACTGTCACCTAGAGTTCACTGAGGACAGCTCCTGCAGCGACCACAAAGCTTTATTTGCCCACCACTTGACTCTCTCCTTACCCTCCTTTTATTCTGCACTGTATCCCAGGCCTTAGCATCACAGCTTGGGAGGAGGGGCCTGGGCACTGCGGGTGACCCAGGGTTCCTGAGAAGGCTCTGATCAGCAGCAAGGCAGCTTGGGCCTGTGGCTCATGTCTGGGAATCACAGTGACTTGAGTGACTCGGATGTGGCCCCACCCCCTCTGGCCTTGAGTCTGCAGCTGGGCTGGGTAATCCCTGGGGTCCTGTCACTGGCTAGTGGCTCGATGACTCGTGCCCTTTCACAGTGGCCTTCAGGAGTCAACAGCCTTAGGAAGTGATGTCAGGGTGAGGAGGTGGGAAGGGGGCAGGGAGGTCCAGAGGGCAACAGAAGATATTTTGAGGGCGGGTAGGTCACCCCATGTCAGACAATAGTATAGGGCCAGGAGTGGAAAATCTTGGTCTTACTTGGGCTGAAAATAGCACAATGCAGCAAGGTCAGGAGCCTCTCACCCTCCGGGCGAGTGGCCTGGTACTGAGCACCAAGGCCAGATGTTTACATGGAAGGGCCAGGTAGTCCAACCAAGGTCCAGAGGTGGGACCTTGGGTCTATTCCTATCTCCCTTGGGGTCTCCATTCCCTACCCCCACCAATGCCTGCCATAGGCCTAGGCAGCAAATTAGCCTTCTTATCCCCTAGGTCCTGTCCTTGGAAATCTGTAAGCAATGGATCAAGGAAAGCGTCCTGACTTCGGCCACATGTTGTCCCCCATCCACTGCAGCACTGAATTCTCAGGGTCTGTAGGCAGCTGTGGGAGGGTTAGGAGGCAGGACATGACAGGAATGGGGACTAAGGAACTTGGCCTGTGGTGGCCACAGCCCACTCCCCAGCTATAGGTGTACACTGAAGGGCCCAAAGTCATGGTGGAGCTCCCTGCCTTCAGGTCCCAGCAGGGCTGAGAGGATCAGAGCCTAGCTCTTATACTTCTGACCATCAGAACTTATCACAAGGGAAGAAGGCTTCCTGAGCAGCAACTGGTAGGAAAGAGGTAAGCTTAGGCCTGCAAGAAAGACCCAGGACACCCTGTAAGAGGGGGTTCCCAAGAAAACTCCGAGGGACTCTAGCTACATTAACAGGATATAGAACATAGAATATGGGAGGTGAGCACCTAACAGTACTCTGGACAGGCCACCCAGAATTACATAATGCGGACCACTTACATTATGGCCTGAGAAGAGTCCCTGTCATCTGAGGGAGTTGTGGAACCAGGGTCTAATAAAGTGACCGTGCACTAGTAGTCCCAGTGACTCAGGAGGCTGAGGCTGCATAATTTCTTGAGTTCTGGAGTTACAGCCCAGCATGGGTAACATAGGAAACCTCTGTTACAAAATAACCACAAAATGTAAACAAAGCAGCTCCTGGGAATGGATGCCCTGCCTTTGATAAAGTAAAGTAGGAATGGCGGGCTTGCCATAGGAAGCAGGTGGAAGAGGTGACATGGGTAAAGAGACCTCTAGGGCAGTGGGCCCACAGGGCAAGGCTCGCTCAGAGGGACAGGAATACTTGTCCTTGAGGTCAAAGCAAAGCCAGTCAGCTTCATCCTATCCCTGCCTGCAGGCCAGGGCTGATCTCCACCCAGCTAAGCTCCACAAACTGATCCAGAGCAGTCTTGGCCAGATCCAACACTGGCCACAGGTGAGCCCACTTCCCCATGTTAACCCCTGACCTAGCTGGAATTGCAAATGTCATGCTTAAAAGTTGAGATTTTTGGGGCCGGGGAGATGGCTCAGTGGAATAAGCGCTTCCCTGGCAAATGCAAGGGCCTGAGTTCAATCCCTGGTTCCACCAAAAAAAAAAAAAAAAAGTTGAGATTTTCCCAGAAGGCCTATGACTGGGTGGAGAGAGAAATGAGTCTTACTCACACATACTTCATACAAAGGAAACCTTGTGACCAGGGCAAGGAGAAAACATCTCAGAATCGAGCATGGGCAGCTGCCCAGCCTGCTGTTGTCTCCGTACACCTGCTCCCTGGCCTCCTGCCCTTCCTCAGAATGTGTCCTGCACTTGGTTGTTCTTAGAAGCTGCCTTTCTCAGAAGCCCCAGCGTAGGAGTATCCAGTCCAGAAAGCCTTCCTTCCACCCCTGGCCTTTGCCGGAAGCACTCGGCCTGACCCAGTAGTACACTGCAGTAATGTATGCCTGCTTACAAGAGCCAGTTGTTAACTTTTCAGGAATTTTGCAAACAAGTGACACTGCATTGACGGTTTGAAATTGGCCATGGCAGGAATGGCAATAGGCAATGCTACAAACAAGGGGTCCCTCAACACCCCAAAGGTCCACTTTAACATTTACCAGAATGTTACTGGCTGTCACTAAAACTGGGGAACCCTGGGATTGAATCTTCTTTGCCTCACACAGAGACAGGGACAGAAGCCAACTGACTTTAGAGTGAGGACATACCCAGGATCTGGAGAGGGATTCCTAATAGACTACCCTGCAGCAGCTAGTGGGAAGGTAGGTGACAGAAGAAAGCAGGTCAGAGAAAGGCCCTTGTGCACATGTGGGAAGCTTCCTAGGCCGTGCCCCCACCCTCTGGCCATATACCACAGCACAACTCAAGAAGCAGTACAATCTTTAGTATGTTTCAGCTGCAAACTGGGTCCCACCCCAGGGGAGCCTCCACTGGACATATGCCGTCAGCTCCAGATGTTCATCTCTTAGGCTGGGGGTACATGTCTGAGCTGAGGCCACTGTGGCACTCAGTGCCATCCCAGATCCCTTAGCAGGGTCCTCTGGTCAGCCTGTGACTCTGCCCCCACTCTAGCTAGCTCAGGCCCACACCCTGCTGTGAGGCCTTGATGAGTGATCTTCCTCTCTGGGCCTGGCTTAGGTTGGGCCTCTGCTATGTGCCGAGGTGCCAGACAGGAAAAGCCAGCTCTCTGCATGGGAGCCAGGTGGCACAGGACCGGAACACTTCCCTGTCTCCACTCACTCATACAAATGACGACTGGGGAATCTGGAGCTGGGCACCTTTCTGGGCCACAGGGAGAGAGCATCCTCAGCCTCTGCTAGTGACAATGTCATTGCTGGTCCATATCTGGGAAGACTGTTCCATCTGAATGAGCCATGGTCCCGACAGCTCCTCCATATAACCTCGCGGAAGCCCATGGGGCTCAAGTCCTAGAGCCGGATGTCCTTAGTGTTCTCGCTTCTAGCCACCGGGGGCTCTGTCCACTGAGAGTCCTCACTGCTGGCTGACACCTCTCCCTTCTGGGTGCCAGTTCTGTCAGACCTGCGGAGGCCCAGTCTGCGGCGAGCTGGGGTGGTGGGGGTGGGGTCTGCGGGTGACTTGGCATCTCGGGCAAAGCGGACAAGCTTCTGGCCAGCCAGGAAATAGAGCACAGGGTCAAGGCAACTATTGGCACTGGCCAGTGGCCGGGTGATCTTGTACGCCATGTTGATGGCATTGAGAGTGTGGCAGCTGAGATCCAGTGAGCGGAAAGAGTAGTAGAGGGTGCGGGTGACATGGAAAGGCAAGAAGCAGAGGGCAAAAACAGCCAGCACCAGGGCGATTGTGCGCACTGACTTGCGCTTGGCCCGGGGCAGCCCTCCTGTGGTCCCGTAAGCTGGCTTGAGCAACCGCCGAGCCATAAGCACGTAACACACCAGGATGATGGCGAAGGGCACTGCGAAGAGCAGCCCCAGCATGATGGAGCTGTAGGCCACAAAGTGGCTGAAGAGTTCAGGTGCCGAAGTGTCATGGCAGGTGATTCGGGCCCCACGCACACTGGTGGTGACAAAGTAGAGCACAGGTGCCTGGCAGGCCAGCACCAACACCCAAATGGCCAATGCCACCCGGCGGGCATAGCGGGCCCGGCCCCAGCGCAGGGATCGCAAAGGGCGCAGGACGCCCAGGCACCGGTGCACACTGATACAGGTGAGGAAGAGGATGCTGCAGTAGAGGTTGGTATAGAAGAGGAAGCGCACCAGCTTGCAGAGCGCTGTGCTGAAGGGCCAGTGGTCACCATGGGCGTAGTAATAAACCAGCAGCGGCAGGGAGGCCGCGTACAGTGCATCAGACACAGCCAAGTGGAACATGTATGTGGTGGAGGCATTCCAGCTCTTGAGGCGGCACAGGAAGATGTAGAGCGCCACAACGTTCAAACACAGCCCGAGCACACACACCACGCCATAGGACACCGGCAGCAGCACATACTTGAAGTCCTCATTGAAGCGGCACCTGTAGCCCAGCTCATCTCCATCCCAGGTATCGTTGATGGTGTCATTCCAGGGGCCCACGTCCACAGCCATTACCCTGCAGAGAAGAGAGAAGGAGGGAGAGCCAGGAGGTTAGGGCTCAGCAGGGAGGCCTGACACCCACCTGACAAGGCCTTCAAGGTGCCCACAGATTCTCCTGACCACATCCAGGACTTTTATTGCCATCTCTCTCTGGACCCAGAACCTCCAAGTCAAGGAACAAGACTGCGTGAGACCCATGAACAGCACAATCATATAATATATATAATCCTTTTACATTAGCATCATATAACATATAATAATATATGATATGTAATTAGAATACAAAACTTCAGAACGGGGCCCAAATCCATCCCACCCAGCAGGAACACTTTACCTGTTTGTTTAAGAAGTTGAGCAACTGAATTCTGTGAATCCTAAATTATTAACTCTCTGACCATTAAATATAGTGCTGACCTTGCTCTAAAACCTCAGGACCGGAGAATCTGAGAGCTAGGCTTTGAGTTCTAGGATCTGGGCATCCCAAAGGAGTATAATTCAGGATTCCTGGGGAGGGGCCTTCAAGGCTGGGCCCCCCACGACACTAGCGCCCTCGCCTGGTGAGGTATTTCCAGCCAGGGCAGCTCAGACATTTTGGGGGCACCACAACATTCTTCCACTAGCTTTCGAGGGCCAAAGTGTGGGATGGTTGAAGAATTTCCAAAAATCTCCCTCTTCCATTATTCATTCTTCTGGATTGATTGACAGATTGATTGATGGTATTCCTACAACTGCACTTAGCAGTCCCTCCAGTCCGTGAGGTTACCAATGGGTCAGTGACCTTCCTGAAGACGCTAGGGAAGTCTGAAGCGGCAATGAGGATAGGGAGTAGAAGTAGCTTATTTTATGGGGCAAATTTAAATTCTTCTCCCACCTACTCAGTTTATTTATGCACAATGCTATTATCCCAAGGGTCCCCTACCTTGTGCCCAGTGAATATATGTCACCCCGTGAGGTCCACCACCCAGCAGACAGGGAGTGCTTGGAGGGTAGGCTGCTACCTTCTTTTTCTTCCTACCCTAGCTGTGACTAGTAAGAACTCTCAGATGGGAGGCAGGGCACAAAGATGATGCCCTGAAGGGCACAGATATGTCCCTAAGTCCCCAGAAGGCAGGCTGAAAATCAAACCAGGAGTCCAGGTAGGAAGACCCACCTGAGTCTCAGATTTCTCATGGATAAAATCCTCCGCCTCTGGAGAACCTCACCATCAAACTTCTCTCAGGGGAAAGCATCCCTCAGTGGGGACAGGATGGGCACTTCCTTCATGCAGCAGGCACTCACTGTCACCCCCACACTGCTGTTCTTCTCCCACCCAGGGCTGAGCTGGCTGCTCTCCTCATGGGGTGGGTTAGGGCCCTCATCTTCTGGTCATGGTCTTTGCACAGTTTCTTGCTGGTGACTAATGGTGGAATCTCTGACACTGAGAAGGGGGTGGAGACTTCCCTGCCTCATTGTGGACTGAGGGAGCCACCCCTCAGTGGCTGACATCCTGACCTAGCCCTACCAGGCCAGCTGGGGACTTCATCACTGTGGCCTTGGTCCAGACTGAGCCTCCTGCCCCCTCTCCACCCTTGTCCACTGGCTGGCTCATCAACCTGTGAGGCATTGTCCTAAGCCCACAGCCTCTACTTTATGGGGACAACTTAGTCCTCTGCCTTCTCCCTCAGGCCTCTCCTCTCCCTCTCCTGAAAAAGCTGCCCTTGGGACCTCACCCTGGGCTCTGTGGAGACTGCTCTTCCTGACCTTGTCACTAGCCCCTCTCATTACTCACTGGCCCCACTCCAGAAGCTCTGGTCTAGGAGAGATGAGCCCTTTGACAGTCTAGGGCTTCCCTGCTTCTGTTCTTGCTGGGCTTTCCATCTGCAAAGGCTTTCCAGAGGCCACCCACACAGCACTCCACCTCACAAACCCCTCCAGGCTCTGCTCAAGTGCACTCATCACAGTGCCCTTCCGGCTATTCTTAGGCCTTGTTGGTAGTTTGTCCTTTCCCCTAAAGGTTTCCAGGTAGGTGCTCCTTGAGGGCTGGCTTCTTTGAATGCATTTCTCTGTCCCTAACACTCAGCAAGAGGCCTGTCTCACAGCAGTGAGTACAGGAAAGAGAAAATGAATGGGTGAGTGAATGAATGAAACCAATACAAGAAGCTGTGGGAGCCACTAGAGCTGAAGGTACTTCTCTTTTCCATCCCTCACTGGAGAACCTATAGGAGGACAATGGTGATTAGAGATTTCTCAGCTGCTGGCTCTAGACGGCCATGGGCCAGTCCAGGCCTTCCAGGGGCACAGCTCACGTGGGGTCTTCTCCTGACCCAGAAAGATGCTTAAATTGTCTCTCCCTCAAAAACTGTAAGATCCCAGATGGCTTAGGAATGTGCCAAAGGAGTCAGGTGTTCAAAATTCCAGAGGCAGATCAGCTGTCTGAGGCCGGCCACGTGCTTTTATCTGCGCATCTCTGGCTCTTATCTGATCAAATGATCCCCATTTAGGATCCCTTCTCCTACCCTTCCTGTTCAGAAGATGCCAGGTCTGGTTTGAGCAACTTCAGGCATCCCCACCCCATCTTTTGGTAAAAACTGTCAGAGAGGCTAATTAAGCTATTTTTTCAAGGTCACACTGCCAAGAATTGGACAAACCAGGCAGGACACCCAGCATCATCTGGTTCCAAAGTCCTAATTCCTTACAGCTTGGGATAAAGGAGCAGGGAAAGGCACTGCCTTAGAATTCCCCATGCAAACCCAAACTAACCAGCCCAGCCTCCCAGTCATGGGACGGCCCCACCTCACACACCAGTACCTGACCAGCCCCTGCTCTCTGGGTCGGGATGCTCAACGCAGGCTCAGGTTCCTCACTCATGAATGCGCGCCTGGACCGGCTGCTGGGAGCTCTGCAGGGAAACAGGAAAGACAGGTTCCCTGGCCTGGGGCCACACCCAGCCTCCAACATTTTTCAGGGCTGGTAGCTGCCAAAGGGGGCTCCTGCAAACACAGAGAGGTGGAGACGCTGGCCTGGGCGGCTCCTGGGTGTGGGAATTCAGCCAGGCCAAGCCCTCCCAGGGCTGCCTTCTCTTCTGGACCCAAAGCACAGAGGGGCAACCTTATGTGCTTGTGCTGGTCAGCATGCCCTGAGCACAGCTGCACTCTGCCCTGATGTCTACCCCCAGCTCACATGCTCCAAGGACAGGTGCTCCTAGCTCCCTCCCAGGCAGCCCCCATCACAGGAGGGGCTCTGTAGGGGAAGATCTTCCCCACATCCTGCAGGCTAGAGCAGCCTCCAGCATTCCCTCTCATAGACCTGGTTCTGCCCCACAGCCCCACAGTAAGAAACTTGCCAATATACTCGATGCCCAGCACATACTCTGTAGTACTTCTGCTGACATAACTCTGCCCAAGCCAGGTCTCTATCCAGAGCCTGCCTTCTCCCCAATTTCTACCCTGGGCATTGGCATACTGCCATAGTGGTATAAACACACACACATACACACACACACACACACCACATCTGAACACACACAGGCCAACACACACCCAGCACGCTTAGGTTCACACACAGTATGCACACTGGCATCATCTAGACCAGTGGTGGCGAACCTATGGCGCATGTGCTGCAGCAGGCTATTTGTAGCACTGAAAGCTCTAAAAAGGTTTGCAATCACTGGTCTAGACAGTCAGGTCCGAAACAATCTTCCAAACTCATCTGTGCCAGGCCTCCACTTAACAGAGGAGGAAGCCGAGGCAGGTCCCAGCCCACTGGGACTGCAGGTGCAGCACAGGAAAAAGAAGGTCCCCTTCTGGAATGACCTTATCTCATTTTCATTTCCCCGGAACAGAGGAATGGAGCCTCGGACAGCTGAGACTGGGTCACCAAGTGTGAGTGGGTGGAGCCTGCAGGAACAGGGCCGGGATTGGGCCTAGGAAGGGCCTCTGGCCACTGTTGTCCTGTTGCACCTTGCCCAGAAGCCTCAGGCTGACCTGGGCCAGCAGCCTGTTTGCTACCTGTCTGTCTACTCTAGAGTCTAGTGACAAGGTGAAAAGTGCCATCTTCTCATCCTATTCCACCCAGGGACTCTCCACCAGCCTTCCGGGATGCAGCCCCTCTCCCTCACCCTGCTGGGATCACAGGCGTGCGCTACCATGTCCAGCAGCTTCTCTTATCTCATATCACGAGGTGAGCATTTACTCTGTGCCAATTTCTTCCCATCTAATCCTGAGACTCAGAAAGGCTAAATAACTTCTCCAGTGTCACAGAGCCAGCAAATGGCACAGAGCTCTGGTCTGACTTCAGAAGCTGTGCCCTTGACCACTACCTCCTACCCTGCAAGGCCCAGGCCCTGTCCCCAGGAAGCTCCCACACACGACTGTCTGGTCAGGTGTTCAGCACAGGAGTATCTGGCAGGCAGGGCCCAGCACTCACTCTTCTTAGTACTTCCCCAGTGTTAAGTGGTGGGGATAGTTATTATACCCATTTCAGAAGTAGTAAAACTAAGGCCAGAAAGGGGTAGGTAGCTCAAGGTCTTACCAAGATACCAAGGGAGTCAAGGGCAGACCCAGACCTAGCACGTAAACACCAATATGGGTCTTTCTCGCATAGCCTCAGGCTATTAAACCTAAAGTCAGGAGGAGGAGCCAGCGCAGTTCCCAAGCTGGTTTAGGAATTTCCAGGGCAGTTTGACAACATTCCAGGTCCTCCACTAGAGTGGTTCTGGAATGTGTTGCCTGCCTGGCTGCTAGCCCTGTCCAGCCTGGCATAGGACAGTATCCTGTCACATCCTGGAGACTCCTGCTGCCTGACTCCACCAGTGGAGGGTGCTATGAGGGAGAAACAGAAATCCCAGTTCTGCCATTCCCAGCAGCAGGAACTGGACAAGTCTCTCAGTTCCAAAATCTAAATCTTGATTAATAGAATAGAACCTGTCCCACAAGGTTGCTGAGATAGTTCTATGAGATGATTTTGACTTTGTTATTTAACCATGCAAGGCCTCCAGCATGCAGGTCAAGCCCTCTACCATTAAGCTGTACCGCAACCTGATTCAGACTTATTTTATGCAATAATAAGAGACAAGCATATGGGAAAGGCAGGAAGAATAGGGTTATCCCAGGAAGACAAGAAGGGACAGAAAGGGACAGCCACTGACCGCAGATCAAGTGTCTCACACTGAGGGCCATCCTCAGGCAGAAGGCAGTCCACGGACTCCCAGCAGGAGCCAGAAGCTTTTCACCTGCACCCCTCCTTACCCATCCCAGAGGCAGCCATTTCTATGCCTGTCCCTGTGTGGGGTGCCAGGGCTCCAAGGCGAGCCTTCCTGATTCCAAGGAGGTCCCTCTCAAGGCGGAGAAAGCACACCCAGAAACAGGTACTGATGCCTCAGGGTGATGAGGCCTGAAGGACACCACGGCAGGCAGTGGCTAGCGGTGAACGGGCGCCGGTGAAGGCTTCTTAGAGCATTTTGGGTTTGTTGGTTTCACTTTTTTGTATTAATGCACCTTTGCGGTACACAGTGATTCCTGTCTTCAGAGGACTTGGTGCAAGTATACAGCATATCTTCCTCCTTTCTACTTCCCTTTCCTCTCCTCTTTTTCCTTCCTCCATCTCTTGGTTCCTTTCC